ATATTAACAGCTCAGGTTAAACCCATACCATGTATGTGGAACACTGAACTTCAAGAAATTGAAAAGCTACTGTAAATATTCTGAAGATAATCACCAATGGATACCTACGATCTCTGCACATGCTATTCCCTCTGCCGGGAACTCTTCCTCTGTGTCTGGTTCTTTCACGTCCATCAGATCTCAGCTGAAGGAAGCCTTCCAATCTAAATGAGCCACCCTTTCCCTTACTCCCGACTACTCAGTCCCATTCCCCTACTGGAAATAGCTCTCATGTGCTTATTTCTTATGTACTTGTCTGTCTCCTCCATAAACTGTAAGGGCAGGGATATGATTTACTTTTTCACCACTGTTTCTCCAATACACAGGCAGCGCTTGACACAGATGATCAATAAAACTCGTTGGAGAGAGGAAATATGATTGCGCATCATCTCTATCATTAGTTAGTACATGGCAGCGGCCAGTGTTAGCATGACTACAGCCAAATGTATGCTTCTTTTTCAAACTGGAAAAATGACAGGAAGTCTTTAAGACAGAACAAAAGCTTAGTGCCCCTTTACTTACAATTTTGATTGAAAGCTACCATGCTCACCTGCAGGCTTCCCTTGTGGCTCAGCTGGCAAAGAATCCACCTGCAATGTGGGCAACCTGGGTTGGATCCCTGGGTTGGGAAGATCGCCTGGAGAAGGGAAAGGCTACCCACTCCAGTATTCTGGCCTAGAGAATTCCATGGACTGTACAGTCCATGGGGTCACAAAGAGCCAGACACGACTGAGCAACTTTCACTCACTCACTCATGCTAACCTGCTGGGAAATAGACAATTTTAAGACTAGAGGGGAAAGTCTTCCATCCTATTCCATCTACTGCTTTGCAAACGTGTGCTCAGTCACTAAGTTGTGTCCACTCTTTGCGATACCACAGACTGTACCCCGCCAGGCTTCTCTGTCCACGGGATTTCCAAGGCAAGAATACTGGAGTGGGTGGCCATTTCCTTCTCCAGGGGATCTTCCAGACCCAGCGATCAAACCTGTGTCTCCTGCATTGGCAGGCAGATTCTTTACCACTAAGCCACCTGGGAATCTCTGCAAATGGCCCTAGTAAAATACTGTTATTCACCTACCTTGTCCCTTTGAGTGGCAGAATAAGGGTATTTTAAGTAGCTTAGGAAAGGTAATTTTCTTTCACAGTCTGCACGAGCTAAGTGCACACAGGAAGGAACAGATCAGCAGACTACTACTCTATCCTCACTATACTCTGAAGACATGTACTTCTTAGCTCAGAAATCTAGAAACATTTAGCTGTGATGATCTAAATTACATACAGCAACTCCTACAAGCTGTACACTGGAGAAATTCCCACTAACCTCCTCACCAGAAAGCCTACAGCCCACTTCCCAACAGCCTGGCAGCACAATTCCTGTCAGGGGAGGAAGTTACGGCCATCTCCTTCAGGTGCCCCGTGATTTATGTCATCTAGTGAGGATCATGGTTCTAACCATAAAGCCAAAGATTAGCAGGGGGATTCCTTTTCCCTTTCAAATGAGATGAAGTGAAATGGGAATTGGGATTTGGCCTTCCACACCATAAGGAGGATGAGATAGGCTGCTGCCATAGCTGCTTCTCCTGAGCACCAAAGATTCAAGAACTGCGGCAGATTCACTCTGCTGTGTGCTCCTTGAAAAGATATGCAGACACAAGATAGGAGAGTTAAAGACTTCAAAAAGGGCTCTGTCCCCCAAGACAGAAATAAATGGGGTCAGCAAAACGAGAGAAAATTGCCGTCTCTAAGTAGCTGCTAAGTGGGGTGACTGAATTTCACACTCACTACCCCGGAGACTTCTCCCAACCTCTATTTAACATGGGCTGACAATATTCTGAGACAGCTAAAGAAAGTCTAGCAAATTACCCAAGAAACCCAGAGATAGAATCCTCCAGGGTTTCGAGAAAAGATCTGATGTGACACAGGCATTTACTTTCCCAGGTTCTATTTCACCTGCCCACACACTTGCCAGTCTTATCCCAACTCAAAAAATATATAAATCCACCTTCAGCTTTTCCATCATCCTCACTGCCTTCTCAGTAACAGAAGAGCCCCACAATGATTGTGTCAACTCACTGCCCACTTCCTCCTTCAACATATTCCAGAACCAACTCTGTCCCTTGGCTCTTACTGTCAACAGCAGACACAGCCCCTACCATTATTTTTAAAAACTGGTCAAATGCAAACATTTTTTTACTATTTGAGCCCCAAGGTCTTTCTGCTTCAATCTTAGAAAAAAGAACGCAGGACTTACTAAGATGGCAAGGCAGGGACCAGAAGAAACATGCACCTTCCATCGCCTTATAACCTGTTCTTTACCCAAAAGAGGAAGAATGAGTATTCCTCTTCACTGCAGCAAACTTCAACCCAAGACCACTTCGAACCTTCAGCTCAGCCTGAGTCCAGACAAATCCAGAGGGCTCAGCCTGAAAGGCCCGAGTCCGGTTGGTCAGTTTCTGCCCCTCAACCCAAAGGCAGAAAAGCAGTCACTGATAATTACTCTTTGCCTATTCATCAAACTATTTCCTTCCTCCTTACCTCCCTCTGTCATAGAGCTCTATCTTCCTTCGCAGAGTTCTTACAAAGCAGTTCCTGGTACCGCTGGAAACAATTACTCTCCAGGAAAATACAACTTCACTAAGCAGAAGAGCTTCACACACAGCAATTTGCCAGGGGTCAATTTTTCATTCCAGACAGGCTTCGAAGCCTGGCACAAATCTGCCAGTGGCTCCGCAGTTCACCCGGCTTCCCTTCCCTAATCTCTGCCTGGAACTCACCCACCCACCCCTTTGCAGCTTGAAAACAGAAAAAGAGCAGTAGCGGCAACTCTTAACACCTTCTTCAAAGCCTGCTCCCACCCTAATGTGTCTTCCACACCACATTCCTCTGCTTATGTTAAGGACCATAAGCACCAAATAAAGTCACTGCAACAGCAGCTCCCGGACAAGACAGGAATAACATCTAATCTCTCCTAGGCTCAATTACAGTCAGCTTCACTTTCCTGCAATTTTGCGGCCATGCATCACTGGGCCTGCCCTGTTAAAATCATTGCCTGGAGTCAAGAGTCATCAAACCACGAATGTTTTGAAAAGACTGTGCTTTGGCCAACAGGGTCTGGGTTCAAGTCCCAGCTCTGCCTCTCATTACCAATTAAAAAGTACCTGTCCTGGGGTAAACTATTCTTTCGAAACCTCAGACTACATATCTGTAAAATGTAGCCAATGATCCTATCCACTTGTTCAGTATTATAAATGAGATAATACAAGCAGAAAACTCAGCACAAGACATGAGCCTTAATAAACAAGTTACTGTTGATATTCAGTATCCATGGGAGTAATCTGCGGACAGGTATGGTCACCCCATAGAATCCAGATGCCCTGGAAACCTCCAGCATTTATAGAAGTAAAAATATGATCAGCCCCTTTCCACTCCCACTCTACAAATAAGAGGGGACTTTAAGAAAAATTCAAGCCTTAGCAAAGGAGAAAAACTCAGACAAAATTCACTTGGTGCTGCCAATCCCACTACCAGACCACCAAGCACTGTTCTGTTGCTACAGTGAAGGGAAAGATCAGAGCAAATGAAAAAGCTAATTTAAGAGGAGCCACTTCAGGATAATCCTTTCATAGGTCAGGTCAATATTTCAGAGAGGTGAAACTATGTGGACCCTGGAAATTCCCTCCTCATTCAGTTTCTGATAAATTCTGACTCTCCATTTATGTATAAGTGGGAAAAGCACTACTGAAAAACCTAAGAATCTCAGTTGGAGGTAGAATACTGCTTAAGAAGTGACTGTGTGAGGATCAGGGGGAAAAAAAATCTTGAAATCTAATTCACACACATGCTGAGAAAAATTATAATCCTGTGAAAGACAATGAGCCAAGAAAACAGAATGTTTTTCAAACTTTCTACAACTATAAAAGGCTGCAGAGCTTTGCAACAAAGTGTCATAAAGAATATTACCAGATGGAAAAGTCAGAATTGGGGCCTAAAATGAAATCTATAAGCCTGCGGCCATCACAACCAGAAATTCTGGTAACAACGAAGAAATGTCAGTTTCCAATCCTGGGGAATGTTGAGGGGAGGCCAACAGAGGGGACAATTGATAAAGAGAATTTATATTACAAAATTATGATGGGGGGTTAATTTTTAATGAAACTTGCAAGGTTTTAAATTCACCATTCAAGGATGTAGAGAGTGAGGGGATATATAATCAGGCAGAATTTACAGTAACAGCAGGGGGCTGGGAATCAGAACACTTAGGCTCGGGTCCTGGCTCCAACCCAAACCACCATGTGATCTTAGGCAAGTCACTTGTCCTCTTCAAAGTTGTCTCATCCGTAGTGAAGGAACAAGAAGGATCGCTAAGATTCCTACCGGCCTAAGGCTCTGAGAGCCAGAGAGGGGGAGCACAGATACGAAGAGCTCTCAGGACTACTGACTTGACACAAGAGGTGGAGGGGAAAAGACGGGAAATGAGGTCCAGAGAGCGAGAAAACTTGGCGTAACTGAGCGTCGGTGGAAACATAATAGCTTCAAGAAGGCCAAGTATTCCAAGAGTTCCATGAAGAGCGGACGTTAGGATCTATGAAAAACTGCAAACTACTCCGCATATGCCAAAATGGACGGAAGGACGCTGAATCGGAGGACTGATACCAACAAATCCCCGTTAACTAATCAGTAATCGATCTGTCCCGGTAAAAAGCCAGGAGACTTGAGTGCCGCGATCACGGAAATCACTGTGACCCCCTAATGCCAGGGTGTCCCGGAGGCAAAGTACCAAAGGGGAGTCCGTGTCGACTGGCGTCTAGGGAGGGGATTCCGAGATCGGGTGAAAAGTGAGGAAGGGGCAGAGGAAAGAGGATCTGGGAGACAGTGCAAGCTGGCGGTAGGGGAAGGAGCCAGCACCAGACTCCCGCACGGTGGCGGCCAGTGGGATCGGTGTCCCGGGCCCCGCTCTCACCATCTTGACGATGCCCCGTTGCACGGTGGGGACCGCGGGTCCCCCGGAGGAGCCGCCGCTCTGCGCGGAGGAGGCCATGTGTAGCGATGGAAAACCAGCGATTAAGGCGGTGGCCGGCTAGGACGTGTCAATGTGGGTGTCGGTGTTGGTGAGAGGCCGCCGCGGAGAGGACCGGGCGGGCGACCAGCTGTGGGCGATAGACTGGACGGACGCGCTCACTGGAGCAGCAGCAGGACTGGGAGCGAAAGAGACGCGATCTTCACCGCCGCCACACGTTCTACTCGCCGCGCAAGCGTGCCAGAGCGCCACCGCTCTCCGGCCAATTAGAGCCCAGAACCCGCCGGACCCCAAGCCAATAGGCACCCTGCTTGCGGAGCCCCGCCCCTTAGTCTCAAAGCCGGTCAGGCGCTTCAGGAAGCGCTGAAAGAGCTGATTTGCAGTGATGGGCTAAGTATGAGGCGGGACTTCCGGGGCAGTGGCAGTAGGTGGTGTCGGGAGGTGTAGTGGAAAGGAAAGGACACGTCAGCATCTGGCCGCGGGGCGCAGTGGGCCCTGGGAGCCCCAGGGGCGGGGTCAGCTTCGCCCTCCGGCCTGGCCCCGCCCATTACGCCCCGCCCCGCGGGCGGCTGGGAAGCCCACGTGGACGTTAGCTTTCCCGGGGGGCGCACCCAGGTTCGCAAGCGCGAGCTGGGAACACCAGACAGCGAGGCCGAATTTTGGAGGGGTCTCAGTTCTGGTGCACAGCGACTTCCGACATTTTACCTCAGCTAAAAGTGTGGGGAGAACTTGGAAAAGTCTAAACGGTGTGAAACCTACCTGTGTTGGCCTTGACACCGAATGTGACCGAAAGCTCCCCCCCCACCCGGTAGTCGGGAATATACCTCGCTCGTGTTTGTGGAGCCGGTGTCTCACACATGTTAGGCGTTCGATTAATGTTTTTTGGTGAAAAGAATAAATCTCCCTTACGGGGTTATATGTCTTGTGCGCCAGTGAAGTTACGGAAAGCCTTGCTAACACGCTCTCAGTTGACCGAGTGAAGGAAGAGCCACGCTGCCTCCAACCACCCGAACCCACCTCTTTACCTAGCCCTAGTCTTTTGCATAGAGATTGGGGAGAGGGAGGCGCAGAGCAAAGGCATATACATGTTTGCCTGAATGTTGAGAGACGGCTAATATTCCTCGAGTGCTGACGATGAGGGGACAAGAACCTTACTTTCATGCCAGTTAATCTTGAAACTTGTTCCTACATTGAGGACAGTTCTCCCCTATACTCTTGAGAAGAGGTGATTCTCCCACACTTCGCTTATCCCAGAGTCCAGTTTTGGGGTCAGCATCTTCCTAGATTCCTAGTGTTCCTTCCATACTATTAATTTGCCATCGTCTTCAAAAAAAAAAAACAAAAAACTTTGTGGCAGCTCATTCCACCTAATTATAGAACTCTCCATCTCACTAGGTTTCCTGTCCTCTGCCCCAGTGTCACCTGTCATTCACTGAAACTGACACCTTGTGCACACTCTTCTCCACCCAGTGATTCTGAATGACTCCCAGGCTTATGCACCTGATTTATCCAGTACCCTGGCCTGAAACTTCCCTTCACTGAGTTGGATCTCTGCATCTATTTAGCTACATAGCTGAAACTGTAACCTCAAACACTCCCTTCTCTGATGGTAATTGCTGTCCTTTTTCCCTTCTTACTCAGTTACTTATACTCTATATTAGTTTTATCTCACAGCGCTTGTCAGGAATCTCAGCAGGGTTTAGCTGGGTGCCTTTGCCACAAGTTCCCTCAACGGGCCGCAATCAAGGTGTCAACACAAGCTGTGGTCTTAATCTGAAGGTCCCTTATCTGACTAAGGGAGGATCTGACGTTAACAATCACTCAGGCAGTCGTTGGCAGGATTCACGCCCTCATTTCCTTGCTACGTGGGTCTCTGCATAGGGCACAGACCATGGTAACTGGTTTGCATCAGAGCCAATGAGTGAGAGAGCATAGAGGACAGGAAGAGTCTTTTTGAAACTAATTTCAGAAGTAACATCCCATCACCTTCTTCTGTTTGTTACATGAGTCACTAGGTCCAGCTCACTCTCAAAAGGAGAAGACTACTCCAGGGCATGAATACCATGAGGCAGGATCACAGGGGCTCATCTTAGAGGCTACCTGTCACACACTGTTCTTTAAGAAGAATACAAAGACCGTAAATGTCTCTTTTTAACCTCACCTCACAGTTTGTGGGATCTTAGTTCCCCAACCAGGGGTTGAACCCAGGCTCTGGCAGTGAAAGCACCGAATTCTAACCACTAGACTGCCAAGGAATTCCCCTCTATCTTCCTTATATCAGCTCTTTTCTGCTCTCTTCTGGTCCCTTGGGTGGTCTCCATTCTTCTTGCCGCTCTCCTACCAGTATCCTCATCTCTAATCCCCATTGTCTTCTATTGAACTCAGCTGTCAAAACTCCAATTCTAGCTCTCTCTGTCTTCTCCAAACCTACCACTTAACTAGAACAAACATGCAGGTTATTACCACAGTTAATTCATAGGTCCTCATGCATTGCTGGGAATTTTTTCTGTTTCCTCAGTCACATTGATTTCCACCTCCATGAGTCTGATTTGTTGCTGTTGTTGTTGAATTAAGACTTAATTTTTTTAGAGGAGTTTTAGGTTCACAGCACCATTGAGAGGAAAGTACAGAGATTTGTCATGTATCCCCTGCCCCCGACATGTGCTCCCTAATTATCAACATCCCCACAAGAGAAGTACATTTGTTACAGTTGATGAACCTCCATTGACACATCATAATCACTCCAAATCCATAGTTTACATTATTAGGATTCACTCTTGGTGTTGTACATTCTGTGAGTTTGGACAGGTGTATAATGGACATCCATCCATCCCTCCATCAGTATAGTATCATACACAGTATTTTCCATGCCCTAAAAATCCCTGGATCTGTTTTAAACCTTCTCTGTTTTCCTCTTAACTTTGATTCAACTGTCTCCCACACTCTCTAACAGTGATAAGGCCTCCTACTTCGAAGAGATAATAAAAGCCATCAAGAACTCCCTGTGTTTCCCACCACAAACTCTAATTTCGCTTCTCATTCTTCTCTGAATCTCTCTTGTTACAAAGAAAAAACTTCCTACTGCTTAGGCTAAACTCTCCATCTATGTCCTGCATCTACCCCCTCCACTTTCTCAAGGGTTCTCATTATAATTCCCTCTCCTGATTTCACAGCCTCTCAGGTTATCCTAGATTCTTCTCATTAATATTTAAATATTCTCAAATGTCTAGCATAATAAAAATTAATTTTTTCCTTTAATCCACCTCCCTCTCCAGATAGCTCTTTTCCTTCATAGGCAAATCTTCTTGGTGAAACTCTCCCCCCTCCTTTTTTTGACCATGCTATTCAGCATGTGGGATCTTAGTTCCAATGCCCCCTGCAATGAAAACAGGGAGTCTTAACACTCCTGCACTCTGACTACTGTTCTTATCAGTTTACTGAAACTTTTCTCCTCAAGGTCACTACCGAATTCCTTGTAACTATATTCAATGGACACTTTTCACATTTGGTGGTCACTTTGCTGAGCTCTCCATACCATTTGACACCATACTCCTCAAAATGTCTCTTTCCTTCCTTGTTCCCTATATTCCTCCCATCTCTTTACTGTTCTTCCTAATTGCCATTATAAGTGACTCTCCTTTTACCTACCCATTAATACTGGTGTTCCTCCGCTTTCTTCTCAAAAGTATCTTCTTTTCTAGTTCAAAACATTCTTCCTAAGAAGTCTAATCCATTCCCATGGTTGCATGCTAATGAGTCCCAAATATACAGCTCCTGTTCAGATAACTCTCTTGAGATTTCCTTGGTGGTCCCGTGGTAAAGACTCCAAGCTTCCAACACAGCGGGTACATGTTCTATCCCTAGTCAGGAAACTAAGATCCCACATGCCATACTGTGCAACCAGAAAATAAAACATTTAGTAATAATAACTCTCTCTTGATTTCCAGACTCATATGTACAATGATACTCTGAATATCTGCCCATGGCTGTTACATTAGAAATTCAATTCAACATGTCTCACTAGTAACTTGTTTTCTTTTCTCCCAAATCTGCTCTTCCCTAGTATATGTTTCAGCCCAAACAATGACTCAGAAAGCTACTCAGTAGCAAGCCAGAGATCTGGAGATCTCTGTGACTCCTCCGTCTACCTCATTCCTTAATTCTTACTCAATCTCAGAAATCTGTTAGGTCTTCAGCAGCACAGTATAGCACATAAGAAGCCCTGCCTAGGGCAAGACTGCCTGGGTTCCATCCCAACACTGTATAATCTTGAGCAGACTATTCCATGGATTCCTCCTCTATAAAATAAAGATGTTAATAGGACTGGCCTCTTAGGTTTATCCTGGTTTTGAGGATTGTATGTGTTAGTGTATGCTGAATGCGTAGAACACTTCCTGGATATATGTGTTAAATTTGCTATGATTATTATTATGTATCACCTATTGCTTCAGCCTTACACATTTTCACCTGATCACTGCACTGGGCTTTTACTAGAGCTCTCTGACACCAGCCTGCCCTTACTTAGAGCCCACCCATTCTTTCTGCTACAGCTGAAGCCGTATTTCTAAAATGCAGATCTGATCATGTCTTTCTACTCTCTAAGCCCCTCCCAGGATTTCTCTACAGTACTTCTCTCGGCTCTACCCTTCCACAGTCTGCCCAGGACAGGTGAGCTTGGTTCTGACTTTGCAAGATGGCCCTCCTTGGCTCCAGGCCTTTGTGCCTACTTCTCTGTCTGTCTGGAGCACTCTTCCCAGCCTCCTTTGCTCCTTCCCACCCCGATTTGCTTCCCCTTGTTGTCATTTCCCCATCCTTCAACTCCCCACTTAAAAACCAGAAGGCAAGCCTTGGAAGGCATTGACAGGAATGCCGTTCCTCTGGGCAGGATTAGTTTTGTCTTTTCTCCTACATTTTACCTGTTAGAGCGCTTATAAGATTGTAGTATAACTGTCTCTTTCCCCTCAAAAATGTCATCGGACTGTGTCTGATATACTTACAGTGGAATTCCCAGCCCAATGCCTGGTGCTGCTCAATTCAGTTCAGTTCAGTCACTCAGTCGTGTCCGACTCTTTGTGACCCCATGGACTGCGGCACGCCAGGCCTCCCTGTCCATCACCAACTCCCAGAACTTGTTCAAATTCATGTCCATCGAGTCGGTGATGCCATCCAACCATCTCATCCTCTGTTGTCCCCTTCTCCTCCTGCCTTCAATCTTTCCCAGCATCAGGGTCTTTTCCAGTGAGTCAGTTGTTCACATCAGGTAGCCAAAGTATTGGAGTTTCAGCTTCAGCATCAACCCTTCCAATGAGTATTCAGGACTGATCTCCTTTAGGATTGACAGGTTTGATCTCCTTGCAGTCCAAGGGA